TTTTGTATCCTTGTTTTGCAGTCGTAATACCGCAGTAGAATCGAAATGCCCTGAATTACTTGCTAACTACTGTGATCTTCTACTGAGAAAAACACAACTGAGCAAAAAACTCACGTCAGAAGAGATCGATTCGAAGCTCAATAATCTGGTATGCGTTGGTCTGTTGCTGTTTATTACCTTTAAAATCTTTTCTGAGGCTTCTGCCATTTTCACAAGAAGCACCAGAAAATATGGAATTTACAGCTCCTTGTACTGAAGTATATTGCGAATAAGGACGTTTTCATGAGGTTTCACAAGGCCCACCTGTCAAGGCGGCTGATTCTCGACATGAGTGCTGATCAAGAAAAGGAGGAAGCCATGGTCAACAAACTCCGAGTTAGTGTTTCTATCGTTGGCTGTTTATGTTGTTTCTATCTTTGGCTGTTTAAATTTGATTTTTTCGTACTTTATCGCTAGATCACTTTACTTAAAGGCAGTTGGCCACAGTGATTTTGGATTGCTCGGGCTGAAATGCTAGTAGCGTTGTATAGTGGTGAAAACAACATGAATCAATCGAGCGTCAGGAACGGTCGTCCATTTGTGGGCGGGCGGGCGGGCGTTTGGGTCGTAATGTTGTGGCTTGATAGGGCCCTTATAAGGGCACCTCCCTTGGAAAAGGCATTATGCAGCGCCTGCTCAGGGTCGCGGAATTCCGTCCTGCCAGGCGTATTAATCCTACTCGTCTTAGGGATTTATCGTGCCAACTGCCTTTAATTCTTGATGTCAGACTTGTGAATTAGGCCCCATATGTATTGTCACGCGATGCTGCTTTGCTAGAGGCGTCTTGTGCGTCCAGAACATCTCCTTGGCAGTTATATCGATTTCAAGAGGAAAGTTACAGGATTTCAAGTGAACTAGCTGAAAAATTCTGGCCGAGACAGCATGGACGCCTCGACGCGCTCTCATCCCGTTGCAGCGCGTTATAACGCGTCGACGCGCGTCTTCGCGAAGTTTAGACGCTGCATAATTTGTGCGCGTTGCCGTAACGCTTATGCAAGCATGGATCTTGGTGTTCACCTGAAGGCCGTAGCCCCTAGTCCTCCCTCCCCCTCACATCAAACACCACGCCTTTCACTTAACTTAAACAAGGACGGTAAAGGGTTCTGTTTCAAAAAGAATCAAGCATCTGGCAATCTTCTCCTTGGGGTGGGTGTCTGACCGATCTTGGGATGAGTCATGCGTTCTACTTGCAGACTGCTCAGACGGACTGATTTCATTTGATGTTTGCATGAAAAATTGAGATTATCTTGATGACTCGCGCTTTAACCTTTGACTATATTTGCTTAAGGAATGCGGCATGCCAGCTGAACATGTGAACAAACTTTTCCGAATGCTGCAAGATATTGAAGTGAATAAGGATCTCAATTCGAATTTCAAGAAATCACTAGTTGGAACGAACAATAATAAGGCCTTGTCAGGTAGATCCTTCCAATTCATTGCTCTTCATTGATAGGGCATGATTTCCGCTCTTGGCTATTGAAAACTTTTTGAATTCAATCTTCAGACCTTATAAATATAAAAATTCTAAACGGCGGTGCATGGGGACGTGGTGGTGTTGGTGCGGAACGGGTACGTGTGTCATTGCCAAGAGAACTGGAAGAATTTGTTCCTGAGGTGGGCTCTTTTATTTTCCCTTTAACAGTTTTGCTCTGTTCGCGCTCGTGAGATGATCGAACTCCCTTCTTTTATGTCAGAGTGTTTTTCCGCAGATTAGCTCTTTCCAGGAGATACGATTTTTCAGGTAGAAGCATTTTATAAGAAACACCACAATGGCAGGAAACTGAACTGGATGCATCACTGGAGTAGTGGAACTGTGAGTTTTCACAACTTTCCTGTCTTCTCTGTTCTTTTCAAAAAAAACTCGTGATTATTTTTAACGCAGTACGGCGGAGAGGGGACTTTGTACTTTCGCTGCTTCCCGCTGTCGTGTTTATTGTTTTGCAAGAAGTGACAGGTGTTCTTCACGAGCATTGACTAGTAGTTTCTACAAATTATGACTGGTGTTACTTAGTGGCTTCACAATACCTCGCGAAGTTCTATGGCTTCTAAATGAGAATTAAATGCATGCAGTAAATGCTCCCCACCCACCCCTCTCTCCCTGTTTTGTATAGTTTTTTGTGGCGAAGGCTCAAAAATTGAACCAGGATGCAAATATGGACATCAGTGATAATACCAAGAATCCTTCTTTACTTTGAGGTATTAGTAGATTGCAGCAGTTTGTAAGAGGGGTGGGGGGGAAGGTGAACCAGGCAGTAAGTTATAGGGGGAAGGAGCATGTTTAGCGTTTTTAAAATTGTATACGAAAAAGGAGGGGGTGGAGTTTGGCAGGGGGGGGGATTTTGCACTTTTGGTACTACAAAACGACGTGTCGACCCGTCTAGAGAATATTTCGTGAGCCTACAAGAGTTGACAGGTTCTGCCATGGTGGCTGGACGAGCTTGCTCCAGCTTCACAAGAGTTCACAGGTTTCACCAGAGTGAGTGTTGTGAATCGAAACTAGTGAAGCAGCGAGTGTAAAAAATGCCACCCCCCCCCCCCTCCCTCCCCATCGCCGAACTGCGACGAAAGGGGTATCAGGTATCCGATTTTGGAAGGTTTGAACGTCTGCTTTATCTGAATGATTCTGCAGAAGCATGTGCGACACCTTTGTCCATTGCTCTACCACCGCCCTATCCTTTCAAAATCGATATTTCAGATAATTTTTGGCACGGCTTCTGGTGGCCGGTTCGATTTGGAGTTGACAACGTTCCAGATGGCAGTTTTATTTTCATGGAATGACCGAGCACATGAAAAGATTTCGTTTGAATCTCTTCGGTTAGCAACTGAACTCCCTGACACGGAATTAGCGAGGACACTTTTCGTCAGTTTTGGTTTTCTTTTTGCTTCTTTTCTCCTAGGCTTCTTCTTTCTAGAGTAATAAGAGAAGAAAAAAAAAGAAATATTTTCTTTACATTCATTTTATTGCCGTTTTTGATGAGTATCTTTCTTCAGATAGAAATGTTGAGTATTTCTGTTCCAATTTCAGTCTTTGGTGGCGTATCCGAAAATGAAATATCAACTGTTGCTGTGTGATGCCCCAACTCCATTGAATCCACGGGATTTTACGGACTCAACATTATTCTATATCAATCATGATTTCCGCTTAATCAAGGTACGATTGATGCTCTTAAAGACAACCGTTTGAGGTTGCCGGGTGGGCGGAGTAACCACATCACCACTTACTGGTGCGCCTTTTATTTTCCGTAGAGGGTGGAAGAGGAGAGGGATGCCAGTCGTCGCTTTTCTTGGCTCACCCGAAAATGTCAAACGGTTCATTTGAAAACTTTCACTCCCCACCGATGACGAGTTGTTTACAGAACGGCAAAGAACAACATCGAGGAAGGATAAATTTGATTGGCCGGTTGCAGTTGTCAATGGAATCGTCAGCCACAAAAGAGCATGAAGATATAGTGGCATTGAGGGAGTTGCGTGTTCAAGAAGCCGCTGTCAAGGTAGGTCTTATCTAGTAAATAGGAATGTCCTCGGCGTTTTAAGGCACGCCCCACATTTATCTGATGTTCAGACTTTTTCCTTGGGCATGACGACCTTCCGCAAGCTTAGAGGCGTACTAATTTGCAATTATAAAAAAATAAATCAAAAAGGCGCGACTCACTCGGACAAAGCCACGGTCCTCTGGCCACCGTACTGGCCTTTTTTCGCGTATTTCTTTTTCGTTTTTTTTTTCGCTCTTTAGGCTGATGCGTTTTGGGGTATGTGGCAGGACATCGCAGCATATGCGCGCTGTGCGTGGCTGTGGGTGGGAGCGACGCTGCGTGCTGACCGGACAGTTGTTCCGCCTGCCAGCCGCGCATCGAGACTGTCTGCGCGTTGCTAAGGAGGCCGCCCTCGACGACGCATAAAATTACGACTGTCCGCCGTCCCTTTCCCGGATGCCCTCCCGCTCCCTGCTAGTGGCCCTCTTTCCGTTTCGGAGACTGAGGGTGGCAGGGTGATAGAGACCCGAGGCGAGACCAACAAAAGAGAACTTCGTCTTACCACGCCCCCTTTACTTCGCCTCATCCACGTACACAGCGCTGCCCGCTTTGGGTTTCCATTGCGCGACGTCTTGGGCAAGTTTCTTCTGGCACTTTTTTCTTCACTTTTTGTGTCATTTATTCATCTTGTCATTAATATTTTAGGCCCACAACAACTTCTCCATTTTCAAACGCGGGTGTGCCTTTGAGTACTGCCACAGTAGCTAGAAGTACGTTCTCTGTTACCTAGCAAAATGCCGCTGTTTAGATTATGAAAATGCGCAAGACGATCACCTCGGCTCAACTTCAGACGGAGCTTGTCGAAATGCTTAAACCTATGTTTATCCCGAATCGAAAGCTTGATTAAAGAGCAAATTATGAATTGTCATCATAATACGGTAGGTCCAATTTCCGTGGTTCCAGTTCTTTTCTGGCTCCTAAGTCTATTTTTCCTGCGTTTTTTTCTGTTTTTTTTTGTCAACCTCGAAAATTTCAGGTTTATTGAACGAAAAGATGACGATATCAATACATTTGTATATGTTTCATAGTGTCCCTGCATTTTCATTTTTGTGTCCTTACAAGCTTGTTTTTCAGAGATATTTTGTATTGAGTTCTGTTTATAGGTAATGTAAAGCTAATATTTACCCTATATCTCGGTGCTGGGAGGGCGTGGCTGCAAACCCCATCCTATCGTGGCGGCCGGTTGCGCCAGACATCGCGCGTTTTGCGAACATTGTAGTTCATGCCGCTGGTCCAGTTCAGGCGGAAAGGTTGTCAGCTGTTCCAGAAACAAAATATTGCACGAGAAAACTGCACCCCACCCCCACGATCAAAATGGAGCACGAAAAAGCCCCGCCCTTCCCACTATCGGGATATGGAATGTATTTCGCATGTTTTATGAATCTTGATGTACAGCTGTTATCCGACATGTTCATAGAATTAAGTGACGCTCTTTCCAAAATTTCTTCCTTCGAAAGCACTCGCTTATAAACGTTTTCCGATGAGTACCTAGTAGCTTGAACTTTGCCTTATCTACTTTGCTGGTTGTCACGCCTGCATAATTGGGTATCAGTGTGGATGTGTAGGTAACTTTGTTCTATTTTTCTATGTGTTTAATTTAATGCGAATGATGACTGATCGCGTGTTTGTAACCATAAGTCTGGCTAGTCGATAATGTCTGTGTCTTTTATTTTGCTTTTTGTATGAAGTTTGCCTTTTAGTTTGCTCTAGCTAAGTGAATTATAAGTTTAAGAAAACAAAAAGTGGTAACACAGGCTAATTAACGTAGGTAACCATGCCGGCTTAGTGGTGCATTCACGGAACTGACATTTAATTTCACGCGCAGTTTTTAGGGTACTGTTTCCTGCCTGTTTTTCTACATTTATAATCATGCGTTGAGGTAGTACCGCTTTGCGGCGTTACCTGTTGAGTGGCTTCAGGGTAAAAAGGGATGAAGAGCGGGTACGAGGCATGGCATTAAAGGCACGCCTTGGGTTCAAAATAGTAAGCTATGCTGCTGAAAAACTAATTACAATATGTAAATTACACAAAAATGAAGAAAAAAAAGCAGTAACCCGTCCCGAGTGCTCCCAAACAGAACCCCATGCTAAACCGCGCTTGCACGTGCATAAGGCGAAGAAAGGGCGTGGTCGGACGAGTTCTCACTTGTTGGTGTCAGCTCTTTCTCCTCATCACCTCACTCTCGCTATTCGGAATGGAGAGTGTTAGTGGTGGAACAACCGCGTTATCAGGTAGCAGTTAAAAATGAATGTTGGGCGTTGCCGTAGCCAGTGGGCGGGACCGTGGTCTTGCCCAGCGGGTCGTGCTTTCCTCATTTATTTTGAGCTGCAAACATAGTACATCCTCCATGCTTGTTGACAGGACTACCTTGC